ACTGGTAGCTACCGTGTATGTGTGTGTGTGTGTGTGTGTGTGTGTGTTTGTGTGTTTCTCAAGGTGTGGGGTGTTGCTACTGTTTTGTTTAAATTTGAACATTTTAAGACAACAGAACAATAAATAAATAAAGGTTAAAGCAACCCCCCCCCCAGAATTTTATTCCTTCCAGTGTGGAGAAGTTTTCATGTTGATAAAATTAAATTTACAAAATGCAAAGATCTTAATGACTAGCTAGTTTCACAATAGTGATTTACCAGGTTTATCAGGTTGTACAATTAAAATTTCTTAGCAAGTAAAGAACTGAGTAATGAATAGTTTGCTAGGAAACATCTGTAGTTGCATCCAATCAAAAGCAATCAACTGTGTAAATATAGGTATGTAAACATCATTGATACAAATAACAGTTTTAGAGGGCTAAGAGAACTTTTTGTAGATTCAGGGTTTACTTTGTTTTATTTATGTATAGGCTACATGCATCACAAAACTACAGTTATTGATGGATTTAACAATAATTTGGTAATTTATTCTGACGTTACTTGAAATATGTTTTGTAATTTTAATCTTATTTTTGTGATGTGTAATTCAAAATATTCCTGGAGTATTTTATCCAAACAGGTATATCTTAGCATGCTAAGATTCAGTTAGCTGTGCAACAGTTACTACTGGCAGCTAGCAGATCTATGTAAATATTTAGTATCAACTAGTCCCTGTAAGAAGTAGTTTGGTTGTAGTGCCAACCTGTTTTCATTGAGTGATCTGTAAATCTCCATTTTGTAAACACACATTATAACAAGGCTAAGTGTTAATTTATGAAGAGCTGGTGCAACCAATTTCACAACGGACAAAACGTTTGCGTGCTAACTATAAGTGACCTGTTTAGATTGATGAATAAAACCCACTGGGATGTCTTGGACACATTGATCTTGAAAGCTGTTTAATAATAACAAAAACAGCGTAATAAACTTTAGCACCACACAAACTAGTTCTTACGTAAAGATTAGGTTTCGCTTCTTTACACCTAACTGCTCGATGTAAGCTAACTGAACCAACTAACCAAACCTATGCTAGCTTGCATATTTACTTTTTACAAAGCATTAATTAATATCTGTTTGATGCAGTATTGTTTGATCTTGTAAAACTTCCTGTGAACACGAGGATGTTTCCCAGCAACTGATTTACACATTAAAGCCGTGTCTCAATACTGGGGTCACATCTTTTGAAGGCTGCATTTGAAGACCAATTGCGTCACAACGGTGCAACAAGACTGTCCAATTTCGCAGGCTCCTTCTAATGTGTTTGAAAAATGTGTCCGTCTGCTGGCCAATGAAGGATCCGACAGATGGATCCTTTGCAGTCCAACCCATCTCAAGAGTCTTTGCACGCCAGTGATGAACCTCTTCAAAAAGAGAATAAGGCGTAGAGCAGACCGTTGTATTTAAGTTTGGCCTCCGTGGTCAATGGAGGCTGCGTCTTCCAAAGGATGCAGCCCTTGAATAGGGACACATTGGAGTAGACATTTTTTCAGTTTTAATGAACATAGCTAGTAGTGACTCATAACTTTGGATTTACAATTAGCTGCTCAATCCTGGTCACCTGTTAAGAGGTTGAACTTTTAATAAATAAAACATCAATTCAGTACTCTGAAGTTTTTCTGCTGCAGTCTTACTTGGTCTGGTGTGTCCAGTAGCTTACATTTGCTAATCGTCACAAACTGATAGATATTGCTTTGTGACTCACATTACTGAGTCATTTTGCTGACTTAATGATTCTGTTCTTGTGCTGCTGTGAGATTACAATTATGGAGGATTGTTACTCTAGAATCGATAAGAAAGAAACAACAAATCCCATAAGCTAAATAAATGATTTATTGTACAAAAGAAAAATGACAGTAAATAAACAACAAAAGGCAAAAATAACAATTGAACAGTTATTCATATGCACAACCATTAAACTACAAAGTTGGGGTGATTTTTTTTTTAGCTACACAAAGAACAGAGGAATGAAGGGGGAAAGTGAGAAAAACATTAGAAGCGGTGAACCTGTCCAAACATCATTAATGTCAACATTTGGGTAGGTATTTACATAGAGATTTCTTACTCTCATATATTTATATGAAAACACTCTCACACATACCAGTATACAAACACTAAAATTCAAAATGCAACTTCTCAACAGCTTTAACCATTGTTAAGCCATAGATGTGGGCACAGCTAATTTTTTCTTTTGACCACACATTACCAGAGCCGCTACCATCAGTCACTCTGTCAATAACTCAATCTGAACCTGAGAGCAAGGGGACCCTGTGGTTTTCGTCTACATTTTTTGGGGGGGTGGAGAGATCTTATGGGTGAAATGTTTGCACAGATTAGTCAATGACAAATTAAAAAAGCAAGGTTTTTAGGAGGCTAAAGTGAGGTAGACAGACTTTGAAATGCATTGTAATTAATATTAATAAATAGACAATTGACCAGTTGAATTATTTCCAACCACTGCCCCTAAACCAGCTTTCTTCTCCCTTTGAAATGTTCTAGCATATTCCTGCGATCACAAAAGTTACAGCACACATGTCATCCTCTACTTTGGCTAACAATCCCTGGATACTCTTCCCATTCTTACATGGGTTCCTTTCACTTAAATTACACACAAAGGCAAAAACATGTCTATGCAAGACAGTCGACACATTGTTTAAGTCAAAAGAACGTAGTCTCTCTAACATGGTAACAGATTAAAGTTGGTGGGCGGGCCATTTCCAGTTAAAGCATTCTATGTTCATTGATCCAGACACTTATTACACACATGACTTATCACCCAAAGTGGGCAAGGAGGCCTTTCAGGCCGCTGGTTCAGTACGTCCAGGTTCCAGATTGGATAGAAGTGTGTGAGTGTATGGACAGGCCCCCGCTTCAGACAAAAGTCAGGAAAGCGTGATGTATCAAAAAGAAGTGATAACCTCTCTAGTTTATGGTTTATCACCAGAAGCTTGAATAGTTTTTTTTTTTTTTAATCCTATACTGTACAAGCTCTCTTGTGCTTGGTAAAACACAAACAACACTTTACCTCCTCACGCCATGAACGTCCCATAGTGCAAAATTTATTGTTGGTAAGGTAGAGTGCCCCAAAAAAGGTTTTTGTACCCCTTTTTTTAATATATACATATATCATTTATATATAATGTCAGAAGGCTCTTCCTTTATCCAACAGCATAGTGCTTTCGTTTACAACAAAAGGATATCTTTGCTTTGACATCCAGGAGACAAAGACAGACTTCAAGCATACTAATCTACTCTGTGTTCAAGCACTAACAATATTTTCTCCGTAATGATGATAATGATACAGCTGAGGTTGAAGTGGAGTGGGGGCATTTCACAATGAAAATACGTTCTCTAAATTTACCGCTTAAATCAGCGGTTGAGTTACATTCTCTCGATATTTTTTTTTGTTTTGTTTTGTTTTGTTTTTGCACGTTATCTGGTTTGTTGTGATTTATAAAAGCTATTATTTATGAGTACAGTACTGCAGTTAAAGGATTTTGCATTTTATCTTTTCTGAAACTAGCATTGAGAAAAGGTGAATGAACTGGCTCGACAGTGTATTTTTAACAGTTGTGAACACTGCTGGATGAGTGTGTAAACTTCTAGTCATAATACTGTAATCATACTGTGATTATGTTTTGTGCTATTCTCAGCTCAACAATTCACTCAGGTTATAGCAGAGAGAACATTTGAGCATGCTGACGTCCTCATGTGTTTTATTTCAGGTTATGGATTTTGCTGTGTTTGTATTACATGCTCAGTCCCAGGCCTCTTCAAGTTATGAAACAGTGCATTTACTTCTCTGTTTTAAACATTTAATGCAAAAAATTGAAGGTGTTAAAGTGTATTTTCCTTTGTTACACAGAAGAAAGAAAAACTGTCAGGTTCTTGTCATCCTGCAGGACTTGCCCTCCTCCTCCCCCTCCTCCTCCTCCTCCTCCTCTTCCTCTTTTCCCAGACGGTGCCGAATGACTTCAGAGTGCATCTACATTACAGTTCTGTTTCAGACTTTAGTGTGCAAGTCAAACCTAAATCTGTTTTATCTACTCTTACGGAGTGGCAGAAATAGCTATACCGACTTTATGTATTCACTTTGAAAGACAGAGTTAATATATACTATAACCTCTTCTCTCCCTTTTCCTTTTCGAGTTTTACAAGACTACAAATAAAAAAAGATCAAAGTAACTGTGAAAAGGTTTCGTAGATACTCGAGAATGTCACACTGGGGTGTTATACATTAATAGAGGGTATAGGTTTGGTTTTGGATCTCCTCAACACTTTACATCTCTAGAGCACATCTCTAAACATCTGTAAACAAGATTTTGGATTTAAAGGGTATTTCTAATGGTAAACTCTCCTCACATTAGCATGGATTTTTGATCTTTTCGTTAAAGTGATGCATTGCAAAATAATTCTGATCATTTTTGTGGATCAAATCTCACCAGTAAGTAAGCTTATCTGTGAAATTAAGTATTTCCAAACTCACCTTAGGACTGGAATTGCTTTAAAAATATTGTAAATGCTTTTAGTCTCCTGTCATCTCAATCCACTAACCTGGACATTTCACAAAGATGCCATTGAAACAGACAAACAAACAAACAAACAAAATCTTTTAAAAAAAACCCACAAAACTAACACATACTCTATAACATAGTTTTGTCTCATTTACCATTTTCTGAAGCTGCTCCACAAGTACAACCTCTTTAAATCATTCATAATGTACTGTATTTCCATCACTCAGTCCCTTTTTTTTTGATTCATATTTCACTTATAACTTTTTTTTTTTTTTTACAGTTAGAATCAATTTAATTACTGGAAAAATGGAAACCCAGTGGGATGTTTTTGTGGCTGAGCAAAAGTGAAATCTGGTGCCAAGGAGTGGGTTCTGGTGCCAGGGGAGAGCTCCGTAAGGGTTTTGGGTGGTTCGATGCAATGGTGGCTGTACACAAGTGTGCGTCCCCTCCTGCTGCCTAAGAGCAGCCACATCTATCCACCACCATCCCTGGGATCTTGCCATGGATGATCTGCTGCTTGTCATTGAAGTAGAGCATGTTAATGGGGGACATCTTGGTCGGAGTACAGCAGGGCCCTGCAGAGCCTCGGGGGTTGGCGTGCTGCACCAGGTGGGTGTGTGGGTATTTCTGCATGAACATGTACTCGCACTGGCCGGAGCAGTAGTTGGCTTTGTAGCGTTTGGGAGCAATGATCCAATCCCAGCCAAACGCCTCAAAATCCACAGTCAGAGGGTAGCGACAGCAGCGAGACTCAGTGGAGTGCTCATCGCAGTCCAGGCCGAGGTTTCTCCGAGAACGTTTGGTTGTCTCAAGAACCTTCACTTCCAGGAACGGCTGCTGGAATCAGGGGGAGGAGGGGCAGGACAGAGAGAAAGAGGTGGTTATAAGAGAACAACTGCAGAGCCATGGCTGACATATCAGTTATGGAAAATACAATTACTGACAGGTAATAAATGGCATTTTTCAACAGTTCTACCCACAGAAATTTAAAATATCAACATCTTAGAGTTAAGATGGCATTATGCTTCTCCAGCGTGTGCGTAAGCGAACGTACATGTTATCATTTGGGCATGTAAACATGTCATGTTTAGCAAACCACAATGTAAAGAAAATGTAGTAGAAATAAGGAAATGCATTGGTTTACAAAGATGTTTCTGTATTCTCACCCTAAGTTTGATTCGACTCTTACGTCTGTGTGCTAAAGCTAGGAAGAGAATAGCTTAGCTTAGCATAAAGACTGGAACCTAACCTATGTGCACCTCCAAAGCTAACTAATTAACATATTGTGTCTTGTTAGTTTAACAAAAACTGAAAGAGAATATTTTAGGTTTTAGAGGGAGTTTTGTGGTTTAACAAAAGTTTTTCCAACCGTCCATCAACCTCAGTGTGTGGACAAGACTCACAGCTGTTGTTCACCAAGAAACAATTATAGCACATAACTCTGTAAAACCAAAAACCTCTTTACATTTATGCTTTTATACAAATTTGAAAAAGAAGATACTTCATGTTAATTAGTGAAATTTCAAAGTGCTGGTAGGTGGGATTTTTAACTTTGGACAGGGAAAGGTGAGCTGTTTCCATCTTTTACTGGTCTTTAGCTTCATATTTACCTCACAGACATGAGAGTGGTATCAATCTTCTCATCTAACTCTCGGAACGAAGCTGAACATGTGCACTTCCCAAAATGATGAGTTATTCCTTTAATGTCACACACTCTTAAAAGTGTGCATATATTTAGTTCCTTAGCTCCTTTGAGGCTGCACTGTTTATGGCATCAGTGTTAACTATAAACAGAGACTGATCTAGATATGTCTTCTGATTCGTATAATCACTAATTCTATCACATCACATACAGTTTATGTTCTTCTTTGGAACAAATACAATATAGATTAGACCTTTGTCACAGCAAACATGTCCTGTTAATGACTTTTACCTGATGAAAGTCTGAGGTTTCTGAAGAGACATTAATGAAGTGAGTACATTTGGGGGACATTTGTTATATGGAACTGGGGCATTGTTAAGGTTATTATTTTGAAACATAAGAGCTTTGTCAGGCTGATGGAGAAAAACAAATTGAGAAAATAAAGTGTTTTTTCTTTACGTAAAGACACATAACCACACAAAATCTCCTGCCCACTGAAATTCAATCATCTGTTTGTCATTGAACCTGCTAACAAACTTATTTCAGAATAGCAACTATCAAAGACAGCTAGTATTACAAAAGAAACGTGTGAAGAAGTTTTAAACGCATTGTCTCTCGTTGGATGATATTTATGATGTTAATACTTATCAGAAGGTTTAAGACTTTTCACATTCTGTTGCTCTGGTCATTTATCAAACTAGAAGAGCACTCAGAGAGCACACACCTCCGCCAAGGCCAATGTCAAACAACATATACCAGGCATCAGAGAAAAAAAATCAAATTCATAGTAAACGATTCTTCCCTGGCCCGTGCCCCATCCCTATACAAAGTTAGGTGCAAATTGGTTCTGTTCTTTTTCCTTATCCCTGCTGACAAATAAACTGACGTGGGTGAAAACCAAGCAGCAACGTTGAAGACAACACAGGAGTGACAAAATCTGCAGTTCCTCGAATGGCCACTCGAGGCTGGCTCCAAAAGCGAGTCAGTCCCCATAGACTCCCATGTTAACTTTACAGCAGAAATAAACATGTTTACAGGCTCCTACAAAAAACGGTTTTGGTCTCCATAGCTAATTTCCCCTTATGCATAATTGAGGGCGTACCACTTTGAGTGACAGGTGGACGAGCGTATGCTTGCCACAAACAGGAATGCACTGAAGTCTTGGCTCCACACACACACACCCCACCACATTGCTCATTTTTGGATTAGGAGTTAGGCAGAGTCAGGCACTGCCGAGATCACAGAGGCTATGTCCCATCTTCATATACAGTTTATGGTGAAAACTTAACATCCTTGGCAAAAGTACAAAGCAGACAATGACAAAGTTTGAAACTACTGTCAAACTCAAGCCCTGTCGAACTGCTCCAGCAGTTACTCTCAGAGTTTGTTCTGCTAATAAAACACATCACACTAAAAAAGCTAACAGAACGATGTTTAGGTGATGAAAACTCAATGTTAATGTCAATGGAGGCCTTTGTGGAGAGTAAACTCTTGTAGCTGTGGTGTGTTGTGACCTTTCTCTCAACATACATAGGAATAATTCTGTCACACCAGTATACTAATGCAGTTCAGTCGCAAAATCAAGGTTTCTGCAACACGACAACCCCAAACTGATGACCAACTGTAAACAACTAGTAGTCAATCAGGCTTTTTTTAAGACATTTTGACATGTCACAATAAGAAAAATTAAAGATCAGCTAGTTACACAGACTCTGTAGTTTTCTGTCCTGGTACATGAGCACCAACTCTTACTGGGTTCCTAACACATCAGGTAGGTAACTGCATTCATCTGACATACAAAGATTTAACAAATTCTAGATTATATAAAAACCACTGCACTACCCCTTTTACAAGAGTAAAAGAAACTCGACCAATAAACTGGTTTCATGCATTTTACAGCTGAGTACAGTCAAAGCCAGCTGAGCCAGTATCTGATATCATATGATATAGTAACCATGACAACACAACACAGAATTCTTTATAGTACAAAGTCTTAACTTTTCCATAAATATTTCCTCATTAATGTGAATGCAACTACATCATGTATACATAGGGGTGTTGCCATTTTTACATCGCAAGACAGTGAATTCAGGGATTTTCTATAAATACATTTTTACATTATGTTTTACATGGTTCGTCACAGCCTCTCTGCCGCCATGCCCCAAGGTCTCAACCAGGTCCAGTTATTTTTTCCACTGGAATTAATCTGAGGTCCACCAGCATTTCTTATTGTGACGTTGGCGTTGACGTTGGTAAAGAAAGAGGTTTGATTTAGCCTTGCATTAGGAATAGTTACAGCCAGTTTTTCCTCAAACTATACTGTTGACAGTTGGGTGACCCTTAATGAGCCAAAGTGACAAAGGCAAAGCTTTAAACTGTGTCAAATTCAGGATCTACTGATCTAATATGTCACAAAACCATATGAATTAATTTGTCATTTTTAAGGTAGGAACACAATCTGCCATTTGAGCACTGATTCAAAGAGCACTGACAGAAACTAGTCTTTTCTAACACTGATTTCTTGGTTTGATCCATGACCCACGAGGTCATCAGCAGGCTCATATAACCTTGACCTTTGGGTAAAGCTAGCGGATCAAATATTTTACTCCATCATGTTTGTTTTACAAAGCCTTCCTCTCCCCACAGTGATTCCAGCTGGGCTCGAGCACAGTTTTTTGTGACGCATTCAAAAGAGGAAATAAGCTGAAAGGCCGTTGGGGTGAGACCATGTCAGCTTGGCCTTTAGGGCTTTTGTTATAGAAAAAAGACCCAGAGGATCAGGGAGAAGCAGTGTTTCACTCTTTCTTTGCTTGTTGTGTTTTGTTTTATTTTTGTACACTGGCCTGTGTTTTTGATCTTTTCCTTTTTTTTTGCTCAAGAATAATATTGCACACTGTGCACGCTGTGTGCTCAGAGGGCAGCGATTTATTGGCCAAGACACCAGAGCTGACCTCTGATATGTGTTGTGAAGATCTGACCCAAATGACCACTTGGTAAATATTTGGTGTTGCTTAACTGGGATGACTGGCCTACATAATTCAACATGGATGTTGTATGTAACTGTCAGTCGCAGTGACTCTGGGATTTCTAACTAGATTAATGGTTCACGGATGGTTTTGCCTTGAGACTGAAGTTTGAACTCATTCGTGCAGCAGCCCCATCCATTACATTAGACATAAGCCCAGTGTTTATCATTAAAAAAAAGAATCTAAGCAAATATGTAGGTCAAGGCAAGTCTGGTCATATATGTTGTGTACATTTTAAAAATCCTGTTCTCAAAGTTTGAGGCCCAGAAGCAACTTCTGTCAACATGAAGCCAAATGCACCGCAGGCTGAGGTGAAATCCTTTAAACCTTTCAGCCTTTGTTTTCAATAGAATAGTCATTTAGTCAATGTTTTAGTCTTTTATCACCTCATCTGCAAACCACAAAAATAATGGAAAAATGCCCAATAATTTTAGGATTTCTAAAACATGTGAGCCAGTGCAGGTCATCTGCACCATGCACAATTACTTTGTTGTTAGTTGCAGTAGATTTGACGATGGGATTTGGTGATAACTAATAGATGAAGGCTGATCCAAACAAAGCAGCTGTGTTTTCTCTGGAGTGAACTAAATATAGAGTGGTCATGACTGACACGTTCAAATAGAGTTTTATGGTAACAGTATTTAAGGGTAAAACTATGTGTGGTGTTTCTGTACATGACTGGTTTATAAACTTCCCATCTAGTTGTATGTTGCCTTTTTTTTTAAATGGATATGATTGAAATACAGAATTATCCACAATTTTAGATGACACAGAATAAAAACTCTTCCTGTGCTCTTATATGTAAACAGCCCTCTCTTACGACAATTCAAATGTTTGACTTTTCAGGACGTATATACCCAGAAGAGATGGAAGTGGCAGAGCTTTGTGTTGGAAGTTTCTGAGTTCAGCTTTCACCAGATCACTTCCCCAATGCTGAAATATTTACAATAGATAGATTTACAATTAGTATTTTTAACTGACACAACAAGTACATGTTCATGTTTAAGGTGAACCTGTGGCCAAGCGGGTATATTTACTGTGTGACTTTGTTATTTAGGTGGTTCAAATAACGCAGTTTCATAAAAAACATTGTTATCTGCTTTGGCAGTGGTTCAAAAGATGGCCTGTGATGTCAATATGGTGCACACTGAATTACCTATTGTTGTTAATATCATCACTCCATCATAGTATTTTGTTCATATCATAACATAACAGGATGTGCCTCCCTTCCTCCTGTGCAGCCACTGGTTTTTATTCATTGCACTGAGATGTGAGAAACCACATGCAGATGCTTAAAACTTGCTTAATATGAATAATGTGAATGCATGTGTGTATGTGTGTGTGTGTGTGTGTGTGTGTGTGTGTGTGTGTGTGTGTGTGTGTGTGTGTCTGTGTGTGTGTGTGTGTGTGTGTGTGTGTGTGTGTGTGTGTTTGCGCGTGGTGATTTCATTCAGCTTCTGATGTTCACTGTGATGCTTCACTTGATGTAAGTGAGCTTGAAGCCTCTGCAAGTTGATTTTCATACTAACGCACTTCAGCATGCTTTCATGCTAATTATTTTGGCTTTTCAAAATCTGCTCTAAAACAAATAAAAAGCATAAAGGAAGCAAGACAAATATTGGAGGGAGACAGCACAGGACTGACAGTAGAGAAGATGTGCAGATAGGGAAAGGGAAATAACATGCAGGATGATAGCAGTGCCATCCATCTTTTTCCCCAGGATTATTTCTTAAACTATTTCTTAGTTCAGTCCAGTTATCAATACAGATCCACATTTCCCTTCAAATCAAGGTTTTCTTTTTCACTAACATTGTTTTAGCTGCCCTCTTTTGATTGAAATATGAACTGGCATTTGTATAAATGTGAGCTGTGATGGAAGTGATTACCCCCCTTCCCCAAGGACAGGTCTGAGGGTCCTTACCAGCCCCTCCTCCCCGGGTCGCAGCGAGGTAACTGCCAGGTCATTGCCGCTCTCATCAAAGGCATTGATGTCGATTCCCCAGTTGGTGTGTGGCTGTTTGAACCAGTTTTGCAACACATGCTTAAAGTCAATACTTTGCCAGTGCCCGACCCTGGAGTTGAGCTCTATCTTCAGGGAGCGGATGCGGATGTGGCGGCTGCCCTGCTCCGTGACGGGCTTCAGTCGGAGGATCTGCAGGTAGACGGTGGAGGTCTGCTGCAGCGGTCGCAGGTAAACCCAAAGCTGGGCCTTCAGCACCTTGGTGAACATCAGTTTGGGGCTGAACTTGAAGAAGCAGCAGCTCGGCTTCCCATTCACCTGCACCAGCGGCTCCGCTGTGGAAAAAGCACAGGTTACATTTATACTTGTACTGTAGATGCAGTATACTGTATACATATGTCATCATGAACTGCAGCGTCCCTGGCTCATGTTCAAACTGTGACCTTTTGAGACACGTCATTTCCTGTCATCTACTTTCTACTATCGAATAAGGATTAAAATTCCCCCCAAAATAATTTAAAGGTCATTTGATACCTCCGCCACAACATGCATTTTGCTTCTATGTATGTGCCAAATAGATTTTTCTCCACACAAGTATCGTTTTCATTTTGGCTCCATATTTGGTGATAAACATTACAGCTACGACGTTTCTCACTGAAATTTCGTTGATGAAATCTGTGATTCTGCAGGTGGTGCTCTTCTCTGTTTCTGTTTAGTCATGGTGACTGTTCTTGCAGGGACATCTGCATCATTCACTCCAAACAAACCACCGCTCACAAAGAACACATCACTTCCTGTGCACCAGAGGGTTTTTTTTTTAATCAGCAAATCCAAGTAAAACGTTGAGTAATGCAAACAACAACTTTTGATCTTTCAACAGCTGCAGTCTGGAGGGATGGGTTGAGAAATTCACTATATGTTTACGTAAACATGAACAAATGAAACAGACGCTAAAGGGAATAAAAGGAACAAACCACAACACTTATTCTATTTACTGGTAATAACTGAAGGGGATCCTCTCTAGTAGAGCCAAGAGAGGCTTTTGAAGATAAAAGAAAATTTACTCCCAAAGGGACACAAAGAATCAAAACTATCTCTTGTCCAGGGTCTTTGTTTTAGTGTTCCAAAATATAAACAGCAAACTGAAAAGTTCTTCCTCTAAAACTTGAACTAGAGTTTATCCTGTATTAACGAGAGTCAGTGGTCAAGGCCGGTATAGTTACTGTAAGTCAGGACAGTCTGTGTTTTAACACATAACTCTTGTGAGCAGGCTCTGTGTTTCTATGGCTCTCACCACACTGATGAATGGCTGCTGATTGATTAAAGCAAAAAGCAGGTACACAAAAGAAAAGAAAACGAGAAGGACCAATTTGGGCTGAAAACATTGTCCCGATATAACAAAAGAGAAATTTTAAAGGGAGCTGTTAACAGTGTTGCGAGTCCTTGGGTGGCAGAGAGAGCGCAGCTGCAGTTTTCTGGACTCAGCAACTTCACGGGAAAGACGTGTATGTGTTTTGCACACTGATCATAAAGCCAAAGACTACCACAGCCCCCCACGTCACAGAGAAGCGTTTAACACAAACTGATGAATTAAGGAGACTTGTACACAGTTTGTGGCTCCACAACACACTGTCAACGTATGGGATATACTGTAGGTTGTTTTCTAGATGCAATCCCAAGTTTCTAGTTCTATGAAGAACATTAATTAGGGTTTTCAAAAAGTTAACATAAACCTTGAGTCTATGTTTTTCACAGAAAATAAAATATAATCCAAACCAGAAGAAGACAGTTAATAAAGAAGTATTTCCATGATATTGGTAAACAGCAGAGCCTAAATTGATTGAGCACTACTTTTTTTGGAAGATTGACTGCTGTCCACGTCTATATGCATGAGAGCATTTGGTTATCATATGTGCACATGGTCCTGTTGTTTGGTCCATTCAGTCAGGTTACATTTGGGATTACATCAAGGTTGGAAAACAGATACATTTGCATATTAAAACAAGAATCAGTAATGGTGGCCAGTGGCCAGATGGTAACCTTAGATTCCCCTGGGTCAGTTGTAATGAAATGGTCTACCTCGACATCACAACTAGCAAAATTAAAACATCTCAAGTTTTTTTTTAGAGGCTCTCCCTTCTCGCAAATATATTTGGGTTGTGGATTATGGGTAATGTCAAAGAACACAAGGCGTCTCCTAAAATAGGCAGATTTATTCCTGTCATGATCCTCGGCTCTGGTGTTCCTGTGATTTGCACCACATGTCAAATCTGCACATGGTTCATTTACATAGACCTCCATCTGATATAATGACATCCATCCATTGCATTCATACATTCATTTCCATGTAAAGCGTTCATTTATTAAGGGAAATTTATTCTGCATCTATCTGGCATAATAATTTGCCAACAGAGTACAATAGAATATTTAATCTGCCTATTTTCTCTGAGCATATTTGACATATTACAACTCCAGATTTTAGTAAATAAACTGCCATCTTCTGTTATTTATCTTGAAGAGGAGTGTTATTGCTCCACTGTTTAAAAAAATAAGAGAGAAAAAAAAGGCATGGACCTGTCAATCACTGCTAAATCTGAGGTTGCTCAGGCAACCTGCAAATGCTTCCTGGGTCAAAAGGTTATTTGGCACCTCAGCCTAGTTAAGAAATGGGATCAGGGGTCAAAACCGTCAGCCTCTTTACATCTCAGGGGTGCTGGGGAGGGGCAGCCCCTAATAGCCAGATTGAGTTTGAAGGTCAAGGTCGACCTTATGGCAATGGTAATATGTCTTTCTTCACAACGCGCCTTTTCACCAGAGAATCATTTGAAATCTCTGAGACACAACAGCACTGAATCAGCCACAGTTTGTTTTTGTTTTGATTAGGGTGGAGATTCTCCAGCCAATAGTGGATTGTTTATCAAACCTCGGTTGACCAGGAGGGAACACTGCACCGGGCTTCTTTTTTTTTTACACTAAACAAGTGTTGTAATTGAATTATGGTCATGCATTGAGGGATATGAATTCACTGAGGTACAGATGGACTATCCATTAGAAGAGTCCAGGGCGAACATTGAATAAGGGCCAAGCCGGGGACAGACGTGGTCCTTCAGCCTGTATTTCCAGGGACAGTCATTAGTGAGTGTAAATTATACAGTGTCTCACGCTGGACAAACAATATGTCAATGTTCCTTTTTGGTGGGTTGCTGGGGTCACAGCAATTAACGTGGGTGGTGTTGTGTTCGCTCATCAGCACAAAACTGGGAATGAATGATTCTGCAGTTTGCTTGGGGTTTACTTGTGATTACTACTTTTTTTTTTTGGTTGTTTTTAATCGCTGTAGATGGGGACAGACACACAACAGCTCTTCCTTTGCAAACAATTTCCATTGCTTTTGTTGAGTTCTTGGAAAAAAGGAAACAATTCAACCAACATTGCATAGCTGAAATGGTTCAGTTTCCCGGGCAGAGGCCTGTCTTGAGAAGCAGTAATCTGAGAAGCAGGGCCCGTGTACCGTGATCCCCGGTTATTAAACACACATGCACAACATATGAGCTATGTCATGTTAAACAATGACTGCATTGATAGGCAAAATCAATTTGTGCCTTTATAGATCCTGTAAGTGCACAAGTAAGCAGCAAACCACGGAGCACGAATGCCTTAATAATTACACCCCACATTTTGGCAGAGCGCTCCACTTGTGCAAAACGAGCAAGGCTAGCTTGTAAAGATCAGAAAACCAATGGGACATTTAATCCTTCTACCGTGGCTGACTTTGCTCCTGCTGCCGTAACACATTAATGTTGAAAGACCTCATAATTTTACTGCCACTGCAGGACTGTTTTTATAGCTTAATTTCCTGAACAGTTCGTTTAATTATAGCTCATTGTTTTAACACGCTGACTTCAATCCTGCAATAAGAGCTCAGCACCACCTACTGGAGCAATAACACCTCTCTCCTCAGCTACACTGGTAATGAAGATAGAAACTAGTTAGTTTACAGTAAGAAGTAAAAAACAAGTCAAAACCAAATGAATTATGGACATAGGAAACAGGCTTGTTTGCTTTTCCTCCTCATGTTTCCAGCCTACTACATTATTACAGCAGCTTATTTCCCTGTGGTATAATTGCAGCATATGCAGCGCATGAATTTTACTGCCAGCACGCAGCAGGCCTGCAGGTGAGCCTATCAAACATCTGGTGGACTCCCTGGGTACCTGTGTCCCATAGTTAGCCCACAGCCTCCTATACATGCATGGAGAGGGAGACATATAGAATATAAGGGTTTATTCACCATGCCATCTGTCCGTTTTAATACGACCGTGGGCCATTTTGAAGTTAAATGCTTTTAATAAAACAGTTGAAAACAGATGGAGAGGGGAAGTTAAGGTAGTTATATAATGAATAGGTAACATGTGTTAGCAATGACTGTGCCAAAATATTATAGTATGTGGTAAAAAAAAAAGCAGTAGAATCTTTATTAAGCGAATGGATACGTGTATTTATCTCTGTGCTAAAGGAGAAAAAGCAAAGACAGAACTGACAGAAAGTTCACAGAGGTTTCTACTTTGTTGATGAAGACTCTGATCTCTGTGCTGCTGCCTCTCGCACTTCCTCGTGCTGTCAACTTTAGCAATAAAGAGCAACCTCAATATATTTACTGCAATGACAATCTCTCCACTGAATCACCACAACAGGATGAAATGCATAACAAGCTTAAAAAAAATAGGAACATGTGCAAAAAATTGTTTAAAATTAAGCTGGGTGATGAATTTGCTTTACAGTGACTAATATCAGACGGGATTAAAGGATTAAGACAGATGTTTTTAGCTTTAAAAACAACCTTCACACTTACATCTATCTCACTTTTAAACCGAAACGGTTTCATTAAAGTTCACTTTTCTTTATCCAAACTCTTGAAAGGCAGTCGTGTGCATATTGTAAACATGTGAAGTAACATATGCCGACCAGGTGAAATACATGCAGCCAAAGTGGGGTGGGGAGAGAAATGGACATCTATTGTTAATGTCCAAATGGATAATGCATAATGGTATAAACCTAGATAGGCGTTTCATTTGCATATATATCTATATTTTCTTTTCTTAATGGGAAATGCAAATGTGCCATTTTGTGGTGAGTGTGTGTTTGGGAGCCTTCGTGTTGAATAAATGTGACTCTAGGGTATCCCCACGCACCTCGGCATATTAATCATCGTGACACGTTCACGACCCTTCTAATAAGACAGGGGCCACAGTGCACCCCCTCAAACATCCCATCCCACCCCAGCCCCACTCCCTCTTTGTCTCTCGGCCAGTCCCCAGGGACGGGAGAGGGTGGT